TAGATAGTAGACAAAATTGGATTTCGACAAACAGTAATAATACTGATTAGGCTTATTATGTTATCGTCACTATTGTTATAATTATCATTGTCATCATTATCATTGTATTCACTATTAGTATTAATAGAAGAAGTATTATTAGCGGAGACCACTGCTCTACCAACTAGTAATAGTAGTAGTAGTACAGCAGTAGTAGTAAAAGCAGTATGCTTTGGTAACACTTTTGATTATGTTCTCTCTCTCTCCACAGTTCTGTTCCTCGTCCCATATTTACTATGTTCCATGTTTCTTGCGATTCCTCTCATGTTCCTGGAGACGGCACTCGGTCAATACACCTCCTCGGGTCCCATCAGAGCATGGAAGATATGCCCACTTTTTCAAGGTAAACATAACTAATTAATTAATATTTCTGAAAAGACATACAAAACATATATACATTGTTTAAAACAAGAATTTAGTAAGGGGAGACCACGAAAAGACGAAATGGCTAAAACGTGATTCCCAGATACGTAACAATACATGCGCTGTACGTACAGTACGTTAGGTTCACACAAAAGTCCGTAGTTTTAATCTTCAAAGTTATTTTAACCGTTGTTAGGCACCGTGTCGACGCAATTGTGGTTACGAAACTTTAAATGCGTAGACGTGGGCGTAGATGAGAGTTTATATCTTGGGATGCATTTGTACTGAGAAGAAAATAAATATATAACAAAATATTTTGGGGGTGCCTTCATTTTCGATAACCCTCTAACAGGCAAACAGACAAAAGAAAACGTAATCACATGTTTGATGGTGAATTTTTGCTCTTAAGTCACGGTTGGTTTAGAGTAGTCTTTCTGTTTGTTTATGGAGGGGTGATGGTGCGTGAATAAAGAACAAAATCGTGAGGGAATTTTGATAGTAATCTCCCCCTGTCCAAATCGGAGAGAAAGTGTCAACCATCCCCTGTATTTCCGACCATGGAAAGACATAATAAACTAGCATTCACTCAGCTTCGACTCCCATCTTGGGGTTCAAGGGGGTGGCCGGAGGGGCAGGGAGGCGATCGAATTCTTGTCATGTTCGGCAAATGAGGAAAGTTATAGCGACTTAGCATGAAAGGGTGGTAAGGGGCCACCCCTCCATTCATAAGAAAGAATAAAAGCACATGTAAATAATGCTCAATAAGATTTTCCATAATTTAACACCAGATTTTATCCAGACTAATCTCTTTTACAAAGACACCAATCAGGCCTATGACTTATGAAATAGAGTGGTGAAGCATTACGTCATAACAAATCTATTTTTAGAATTTCTCAATTTTGTCTTCATTTTCCGAAAGGGCATCAAAAATAATTTCCAAAATTGTCGAAAACCAATTGTCTATGTTAGGTATTGGCTGAAATATGACCATCTGAATAAATATATTTCCTATAGGAACCCAGTGTTATTTTGCTCTGGCTCCTAACCATTACGAGTTGGTCATTAGTAGTTATCAGATTTGTATATTTCTCTTTCTTTATTCCTTTTGAATGATTACATTTTTCGTAATTCATGCATGTACAGCGCATAGAGAAACTTTTGTTTATTATGCGCTTTATATAGTATTAATATAATTATTATTATTCCTTACCTCGGATTATTCATTATTTTGTATGACTACAAAATCAACCTTTTGCGATAGATCAGTTTACCAACATTGACGAGTTTACATTACTTTTTTCTCAAAGGAAACTCAATAAACTTTGATCCCTGATCATATAGATCAAAGGATTCAATTCATGACCGTGATTTTTTTTGTTCTCAATACTATGTTTATAAACAGCAAATGCTATTTTCACAAGCCGTTGCGAAACACAATGACGTAGATTTACATTGATTGACTTTGATAAAGGGAATGGGTGGAATTCCACTCTTTTGAAAAGTCATATTAGGAATCACTTCTTGAGTCGTCTAATCCACTCCAAATTATAGTAGAATCCAGTCCAAATTAGAGGGTAAATAACTCTTTGAATTTTGGTTTGAATATATTTATATAGGTTTCTGCATCATCTTGTGAGATAGGAATTCCACTACTTTTGATCGTGAATGCACTTTATTTGCGCATGCGCAGATAGATTCTCCAAAGTGGCTTATTACGACGACCATAAAAAATGTATTTTGAAAAATATCCTCCAGTTTAATATATTTTCACGGAGGCTCATAATAAAAACATGATAAATGATCTCTCTGTTGGCGTTTCATGTTGGTACATCAAAGGTGTCTTAGTCGAGGGGTTTACACACTTGACTTAAGATGCGAAGGCCGTGGGTTCGAGCCCCGTGGCTGTACCACTGTCCTTTGGCAAGTCATCAGTTTGACATTTCCTACATTCGAATCAACCAAGGTAGTTTTAAATGATATATTTCATTACAGAGCACTTGTTACTTTTTTTATTCTCAAGGGGTCTATAAAATACAAGCCATGCCTTTTTAAATAGACCCTCCACTATGTTTAAACCACCTTGCCAATCTTAATTGATTTATTTGAATAATTGTTTAATTATTTGTCGTATAATTTGTTTAATATTGTGTTATTGAACGCTTGTATATTATATATATATATATATTGCATATTCATTTTATTACATTATGTGGTAAAAATATTTTAAAAACTTGAAACCTTGAACCTTGTATTATTACATGGATACCTGGCCGGTAGGAAGTGTTTCTTAAATTATGTGAGCATACAGCAAAATCGGTAGCCTAGCTGGAGCCGGGTAAGTTTTTATAAAATATATGTTGAACGTTTTTTTTTTTTTTTTTTTTTTTTTTTTTTTTTTTTTTTTTTTTTTGTAATACTCCAAGCCCAAGGCTTGTACAGAAATGACGCGGCATAATCACGGCTGTATTTTTGTTTAGTGATGACGTTACGTGTACAATACACGGATCTCAGTGAATACGCAGAAGTCCTTTGTTGCGCGTAGTTGCCATTCATATTACATGTACAAAAACCCGGGCGGCTCTTTTTGTGGCGGTTTACCACGCCCACTCCTGAACACGCCTTTAATTTGATCATCGTAGGTATTGGTATCGCCACTACTGTCGTTGCTTGGTGGCGTACCATCTACTATAACACCATCCTGGCCTGGACCCTGTACTACCTCTACAGTTCGTGCCTTGGCGGTGAGCTCCCCTGGGAGAGATGTGATCATGAATGGAACACAGCTTCATGCCGTGTTGGCTCCGTAAGTCTAGACTCTGTACATCCCCCCCCCTCCCCCTATCCCTCTCCATCCCATTATTTAAAGCTTCCTCAGTGGTGGATCGGGGAGAGTCGGGCACACAAGTCACCCCCCCCCCCCTTCCCCTGGTAAAGGGCAGGTCCAAGCTATTGTCCCCTCTGGGGGTCAAATTTCATCTTTTTATATATATATATATATATATATATATATTTAACAAACTATACATCATTTTAAAGCTGAAACTATGAAGTTTATGAATCTGATAAAAAATATAATTTTTTTTCAAGATACGTCGAATGCCAAGGTCACGAACTTCGATTTTTATTAATTAGTGTGACGTACGGGACATTACATTTTTATTTTTGTATCCAATTTGAATTATTTGTTTAAAATTAAATATATGAGGACATGCAGACCATCATGCTAGAAAATTGGAAACAAATATAAAAACTTTCAAAATTAATTAATTATGCAAATGAGGTAGGTTCCAAAGTGTGATGTCCCGTACGTCACAATTTGACATTAATTTGTTTAATTTTAATTATGAAAATAATTTTTTTTTTTAAAGATATTCTAGAAAGTTCTAATTTATATGAATACCTAACAAAAAATAGGTTTAACAAAAATTACAAAAATTCTGTGTTGATTACATAATCAAATTAAGAAATGTGACGTACGGGACAAGTGTGTGACGTATGGGACAACCCTATATAAAACCAATGCAAGATGTGAAAAAGGAAATGACCAAAAGGAGAATATATACTGTGTTAGGAAACTTGTTGTATACAGGGATAAATGAACATTCCAACTGGGTCCCTTCTAGGAATTTAGTTGTACTGAATTTGATGTACACTGTAATAAGTCTTCAAGCCAGACCCCTGGTATTATCAACTTTGGTATTTTGCCAGTTGATGTCCCCAACATTGGCAGGATGCTAAATATGTAAATCATAATAGTGTACTAGTTCCTGGAATGAGTCTAAAGAAATTATAATGGTAGTAGATGCACCAGAAACTGGCTTTTACAACTCATAGATGCTGCAAGCAAGAATAGCACATGGTATCAAGCTCTCCATGTGAGGTTGTCTTTTTGATATTCTATTTATATATGATTGTAAACTAAAGGATTACAGCATACAACATATTATGGAGTCAGCTCGGGAATTCTGATCTCCTAAAAAAAATAAAAAACTTTTAAGGAAGGATAGCCTTTTTGAATATTTCACACTCTCACCCACTTAAGATTTTCATCACTTTTACACCCAAGCGCTTTTGTTAATTTACGCTTTAATCTTTTTTAATTGTGGAGAAGGTCACACAAACCTTAAAGGTTTTAATTACTTATATCTGGTGGTGTTAATAAGATGTCTTTAATCAATACAAAATACATTCAAGATTTATATTTTTGTATCCATCATTCACAAACATCTACATTAATGTACATCAAAATTCTTGAATATATGACAGCAACATATACATGTTCTGTAATCTGTAATAAACAAATAAAAAAGAATTATGTTCTGCATTATCTTTGAATTCCATCAAAATTCTGTAATATTACTCAAACAAGCTATGAAGAAAAAACTTCATACTTGTAATGTACATGTGTATCTTTGTTCACAAACACGTAGAGCATAAGAAATGTTCTTTGACAAAATGTGATGTGCCGAGTGTGCCCCTGTGTTTCAAACAAGTTTAAAACAAAGTTTTCAAGTTCAAATTCATCTTCCTCATTAATTTTCATTTAAAAACATTTAACAATGTTGAATGGAGTGGATGAATGAAATGAGAATAGAAGCATGACTGCACATGACAGATGGGTAAATGGAATAAAAATGGTAATATACAACTGTAGTGTGTGTAATTCCAAGTGTTTTCTTTATTAAAGTAATGTTTGTATTGATTTACCTCATAAATTAACACAGAGGATATTAAGTGATGGTCAGAGGATCTAGTTGGGCCCTAAAACACTCTCATTGTCACTGATTTAAGTTAAAATTGTTCACATTTAACAAATTTGAACGAAAATTCTTCATTTCAATGCATTTTCCATACAGACATTTATGTTTTGGTATATTACATAACAACGGAGGGTCAGAAAAATATGGTAATAGTTGTGATTAATGCTTGATTCCATAATGAATTAAGATATCATTACCATAAATCTCATAACTTAATAAATTCAGAGATCTTTTACGATGAACTTATTTTTGAAAAAGTCAGAAATTCTCTGGTCCCGTACGTCACGCAGCACATTAATTACATTAAAAATTAATTAATGAATTGGTCAGAACTAAAACTTTCCACAAATGAACTGGCCCATAATAGCCACAGACTCATACCAAAAGATAGCCATATAAATAATTTCATCCATTGTTATTTCTTGTTTAAAATCTCTGAATGTCCCGTACGTCACAATCCAAATAGCTTGGACCTGCCCTTAACCAAATATGGCAGACTTATACGACAACGACACGTATCTAGGGAACAAACAAAAATGTAATCAAATTTAATGCAGAAATCTTTCTTAAGAGCCTCCTTACAAATTATTCTTTTCACAGGCTACGAATTGTATTTCAATAGACAGAATGCAACTTGCTAACATAATGGCCCGAATTCACAAAGGAGGTTTGTCGACAAACCGAGGTTTATGTACGTCATAGACGCGTTTTGACGCGTTTTTCACAAACCTGGTTTGTAAAAACTCGTCGAAACGCGTCATATGACGCACAAAAAAAAAAATAATAATAATAATAGATCACATTTATAACGCGCCTAATACATTGTAACGAGGTACTTAGAAAAGATTTTTGCATTAAATTTGATTCCATAACGAAAATTGTCTATTCCAATACCCTATGGTACATGTATATCACATATAAATTCTATTCAGATTCTCTTATCATACATTTATCGCACATTTCAGTAGGTAATGGACTAGGCTATTGAGGCCAAGGGCTTCGGCAGTGAGTTCTCGAAGGTCTTTGTGATCGTGCATAGCTCTAAATGGGAAGGTTGAGTTGAGTTAATGATACAAGTAATAATAAACACGATCGCAACTAATTTCGAAATATCAATTTATTGTATATCCCACAGAAATCCTGTTCAAATTACGTCACACGTCTTTTTAAAGGGAAAGTCCACCCCCAAAATAAGTTTGTTTCGATAGAGGCAGAATAATAAGAAAATCAGGTGAGTGAAAGTTTGAGCAAATTCTGAATGAAAATAAGAAAGTTATAAATTATTGAAGTTGTGATCAATCAAATACAAATTGGCAACTCTGTGACTTATTATACGAGCTCTCCTTCATTTGCTTTGTGCATAATATTCCATAAAATCATGTTTTCTTCGTTATTGATGACGGAATATATATTTGTTCCTTGCAGGGGGAGTATAGAAACATATTTGCAATTATTATATTTAGGGTGCATGTATGGTTGAAATTTTTCTTGAGGGAAAATGAAAATTTTAGATTTTTTTAGTACTGAGCAAATGGAAGTTGAGCTCGCATGATACGTCATAGAGTTGCCAATTTGTGTTTGATTGATCACAACTTCAAAAATCCTAACTTCCTTATTTTTAATCGGAATTTGCTCAAACTTTCACTGACTTGTTTCTCTCATTTTTCTACTCCTATTAAAACTAACTTAATTTTAGGGTGGACTTCCCCTTTAATGTTCGCACATCTCAAAAGGCGATGTACAAATTAAGGCCATTGAAATTGCCTTAGGCTGATTTTCGAAGGTAGTTGCAATCGCGATAATGATGATGATAATAATGATAATAAAAATGATAATAAATATGGTATTAACAGTTGTTGTTGCTATACTGTATCACGTTGAATTCATTGACTCTAGTCTAAATGGGTGTGCTTCAACGGAACCTATATCGGCAACGAGTGGGATTCGTATTCGGATGTAGCAGGGTCTTCAGATAACCCTGACCATTGTGGTTATAATCCGGCCTACGAGTTCTGGAAGTAAGTTTCATGATAATGATGATGATGATGATGATGATGATGATGATGATGATTCTAAAACTCACAGTATCAATACTACTATATCATCAACGTTTCCCACTTAGACCGGTTTACTAACATACTCAAATTGTATACATACTTTTCAGACGAGGTTATTCTTGATAAACCGAACGCTTGTTCGGCGCTTCCCAGACATTTCAACAAGTAATGTATACTGGATTCCAAGAATTGTAGTTCTTTCATTAATAACAGGTTAATGGGATAACTCATGACTAGGTCCCCTGAATAAAAACTTTCTTAACTTTGAATATGTTACCCAAATGTGGCAAATGTAGATTAACCGCTTTTTAAAGAACATTAGCGTTGGGCCGAGGTTCGAACTCTCTAAGTTATGATCTACAATCATAACAATTAAAGCGGACCGGGTCAGAACTATTTGGCTTATAGAAAATATGTACGCCAAATTCGATTCAATTCAATTTAATTCATATTTATTTCATTTCCAACAGAAAGATAAACAAAGGTATTAAATTTTTCATACATAATTCATTTTTTCTGGTAACTATACAAATACACTTTGCACATAATTAAATTTATAACAATAAATGAATGATTTTTGAGGAAATATGGGGCTCCACTGATAAGCAGTGATTGTAGTTTGTGGATCCCTCAGAAAAAAATATCATTGTTTCAAAATTGTATATAGCATGGCTGAATGTCTGTGAATAAAGTCTGGATTATGTGATATCCGATATATACAAAGGGGCTCCGGTTGAAGTAATGTATTTTGTTAAAGCTGATTGGCATATTTTGTGAGAGGCGCAGTCATCCCCCCCCCCCCTCCCCTCCCCTATCAGGCGAGGAACTAGAAGAATAATGGGGATAGGGGAGCTTGGAGCCCTTGCATTCATTTTCTACATGTTCCTCGCTTAAATTCATTTATAATCAATAATTTGAGGGGGCTTGGAGGGAAGAAGGGTCCCCTTAGCCCCTCTCTTGAACCGCTCCTGCCTGAAAATGAGTAAAGTCAACATCTTTGTCTAAAGCCACATCTGGGTGTATTACTGGTTAAGTCTACTGCAGGATATGGCATAAAAATCTGGGGAAATAGAACATGATGGGGGGGGGGCTCCACTTCATCTTTATTTCATCTTGAATATCGAGTGTTCCTAACATTCACAAATTTCTTGACACTCCTTTATCTACTAAGGATTCCATACCTCATATTATCATTCCTGTTTTTATGCATATTTTATGTAAACATGCATTATTGGTCCCTGGACTACTGCATTGTACATTGTGTATGTTGATATTAATAAACCGAAATGAATTGAACCGATGTCACCTTGCAGCCTCAGTGATACCACAAACTGATGCTGTAGTTGTTAACGCTTCCGTCAGGATAACTCTGTATTATTTTCTGTATTCTTTGAATTAAAGTATACTTTGAGAACAAATTCGTATTTCTTAGTAGATAAAGGAGTGTCAAGAAATTAGTGAATGTTAGGAACACTCGATAATAAAGATGAAATAAAGATGAAATGAAATGAAAAATGGGCTCTAGTTTTATCAGTTGTCATTTTCCTTTGCTAGATTCAAGGTGCTAGGCCAGACAGGGATAGACGGGATACATAACGTAGGAGGTATTGTTGGGCATCTTGCCCTAGCCCTCTTCCTCGCATGGACGCTCATCTACTTTGGCCTCTGGATGGGAGTCAAATGGAGCGGCAAGGTAATGTTATATTTTTTGTTTGTTGTTTGTTTATTTGTTTGTAATTTTATGACGAAAAAAGGGCCCCCAAAATACGAAATTGCAATGATTTGTTTACAGTCTAGTCCTTGTAATTGTAATAATGATGACGACGATGCTGATTGTGCTCGTAATAATTACAATAATGGTAATAATGATACTTACAATAATAATCATCATAATAGAAATAGTAATAATAATGATGATAATAATGATGATGATAATAGTGACGATGATAATGATAATAATGTTAATGAAGAAAAGAGGAATAATATAGTGGGTCCTTGTACAACGAATATGTCTGTCACACTATGAGCTAGACACCCTGTTCTACTGCTAAAATGACCCTGCTTTTTAGCTGCATTGGTCATACTACGTACCCATTTGCTTAATTTACTTTTTATTGTTGGCTGTGAGCATAAACATTTAAGCAATGCTTATTGTAGTTAAACTAGTTAAATAGCTTGGTTTGATTAAATACACTACATTAAAAGGTGCACTCAATTCATAATTCGACCAGTACACTGTGAAAAGGTTGGGCAAAATTTTCCAACACTTTGCCAATAGTCAACCCAACCATCTATTGGGCAATATTTTCGTATTTTGCCCAACAGTTGGTAAAGATTTTCCCAACAAGTGGGCTACCGTAGTCGGGCAGTTGAAGGGTCATATCTTCGCCCAAATTTTTGTCAAAATACGAAACAATTATGCACGTGTAAAGTAGGGCACTTACGTTTACCAATACCACTGGGCAAAATATTGCCCAATAGATGGTTGGGTTGACTATTGGCACAACGTTGGGCAAAGTGTTGACAAAATATTGCCCAACCTTTTCACAGTGTAAATCCGAGAAATAATTTGTATATTACTACTTTTTGTTCTGTTTTCTTATTTTTAATACCAATGATCATTCTTTTATCGTGTGATTTCGATCAGAAATTAATCATGTTTTTTTTTTCCTTCAACTTGCCCTTTTTTTAAATTGAATTGAATTAAATGTATTGTCTTGTGCAACAAACAAATCAAATTACATTTCAGCGATACGACATTATTTTGTTTGAACGTTTACAAAGTGTAATAATAACAAAAGTTGACATTAAAACAACATGATACTGATGACACTACCAAGAATTATTCATGAAGAAGCCTGCAGAAGAAGGGCTATCACAGTCAAGCGCTTGCTTGATAACGTGATAGTCCGGGGGTGGGTGTTAAAATATTATTAAAAACGGTGATGGTGATGATGATGATGATGATGAAAAATTAAAAATAAAGTTTGTATCGAAATTCCCACTTTATGACCATATTGAGTGTAAAATTGTTGAAACCGAACTAGATGTGATATAATTATTATTCTTACTTCTCTTAATTTGCAGATGGCTTATGTCACCGTTCCCTATATACACCTTGTACTAGCCGCATTTCTTATACGTGGGGTCACTTTACCAGGAGCGTCTTTGGGTTTGCGGATTTTTTTCTACCCCAAAATATATTTACTTGGAAGAACACAGGTAAACGGTCTTCAAAGCTCGTATAATATCTTGCATCTGTTGATTTCGCGAAGGTATTTCCTATCGTGTTTTCTCTCTGATTAGAGGACCTGTATGTATTCCCATTTTATGTAATCATTTGAATTTGACGAATTTATTTGACTTTGAAAATTGTATTGTTATGCATCGATATAAGCGCATCTCATTCTCATAAAATAAAATCATTACTTGACAAAGCCCTAAGGGCGACAATTTGTAGAACAATATCTTCGTCTACGGAGCATTATTATTTCTTGTATTTTATATATTATATTACATATATAATATATATATATATTCATATATATATATATATACACATTAAATATATTATTTTTTAATCATTTGTTTATTCTGACAAGAACACGTATATATAAGGATAAATGCGAGAGATCATGTACTTGAAACTCCTTGAACATATATAATACCATTAACTCGTTTATAATTCATTTCATTTATTTCATTTCATTTATTTTCATATTTCTCATAAACATACATATATTTCAAATGAATTACAAAATTGTTTTTTTCAATAATACATAATAATAACAAAGATAAGTGGTCAATATGAATTAGTGATTTAACTAAGAGAAATATGATGGGACCTACATGAAAGCAAGCTTGTAAGGCTGTAGGCCCCAGTAAAGTATTTGTGGTAATAAATGGAGGACGGATATGCATGTAATAGTGACCAGTCTAAATGAATCAAAAAATAAAAAGGAAATAATAATAATCTTGCGGTGGTGCTGTTTATATTATTCCTTCCTTTCTTTAAGTGTAGATAAAAGCACACGTACTTAAATTATCATACAATGGGTGCTCAGCTGGTAAACGAACATTACAGATAATAGTAAAATTAATACATTTGTATATTACATACATAAATAGAATAACGAAGCGAGCAAGCACACTGTGTCAGCCGTCGCACTCTCGGATATAGAAGTAAAGATGTTTTATTGTTGTTGTTGGGTTTTTTTTAAATACGTATTTTCGAAAGCACGACAACCAGACACAACGTGCTTGCATGCAAAAGTCATACATACATTGACATCAAGATATGCTTTGAAAAGCAGTTCCTTCAGTTTACGTTTAAAAGTATATAAGGACTGACTTTCAATTAACTCTAACGGGAGGGCATTCCAGTAACTGGGTCCTGTAAACATAATCGTTTTTTGGACAAAAACAGTTCGGGTACGTGGAAGGTGCAGGGGCGTACGCAGGGGGGGTGTTTTGGGGGTTCAAACCCCCCCCCCTTTGGTATTTTAATGTATGTAAACCCCCCTACAAAAACCTAAAAAAAAAACCCTTTGGCTTTTTTTTTTTTTTTTTTTTTTTTATTTAAAAAAAAAAAAAAAAAAAAAAAAAAAAAAAAAAATTATACCCACGGCTAACCTAAATAAGGTGACCTTACCCCCCCCCCATACGTAAAAAAATGTCAAATTTTGAAATTTTGAGACCAAAAAAAAAAAAAAAAGTGTCCGCTTACCCCCCCCCCCACTGAGCGACTTTTCTGCCGGCTGAGTCGATGCGATTTTTTTTGGCCTCCAAAAAAAAAAAAAAAAAAGTGTCCGCTTACCCCCCCCCCCACTGAGCGACTTTTCTGCCGGCTGAGTCGATGCGATTTTTTTTGGCCTCCAAAAAAAAAAAAAAAAAAAGTGTCCGCTTACCCCCCCCCCCCCCCCCCCCCCCCCCCCCCCCCCCCCCCCCCCCCCACTGAGCGACTTTTCGGCCGGCGCGATTTTCAAATTTTCGGGAGCAAAATATTTTAAAACCCCCCCCCTTGAAAAAATCCTGCGTACGCCCCTGGGAAGGTGGTATGCGTTGCTCTGACATGTGGGATAATCATGTAGGGATCTATTTCTCCGGAACATTCGTACAATATTTCAGGTAGGTTATTAGTAGATAAATTGTACATGAATATACCAACATTGCAATAGAATAAGTCTGATAATTTTAGGATTCTGTTTTCATGGAACAGGTTGTTGGTGTGAAAAAGGTATCCTACATGATTAATATTTCTAATAGCGCGTTTTTGAATGCGAAAAAGCATATTTATTAGATTTCCATTAGCGTTACCCCCAGGCGAGAATTCCATAGGTGAGGTATGGAGTCATTATAGCAGAATAAACTGATAATAACATTTTACTGGGAAAAAAGTGTTTAAGTCTATTAAGTATACCAGTATTTCTTGAGAGGACCTTGCTCAAATTAGTAATGTGGGATTTCCAAGATAAATCACTATCAATATAAAGTCCCAGAAATTTAGTGCAATCGACTTGTTCTAGTTCTAGGTGGTCTTGAGCATTTATGAATCTACCTCGAGAGAAAAGGTTAATGTGTATCAAAGCAAACAACATTAACCATTAACTTTGTGGCCCGAATTCACAAAGGAGGTTTGTAGATAAACCTAGGTTTATGTGCGTCACATGACTTGTTCCGACGCGTTTCGGACTAAAATTTGTCTGAACCTTGGTCTGAAATGCATCGGAACGCGTCATATGACGCACATAAACCTAGGTTTGTCGACAAACCATCTTTGTGAATTCGGGCCTTTAGGATTTGTTTATTTTAATATAATTAATATTTCTCTTTGTCTTCAAACTAGTCATTCCAATATTTGTAAAGCTCAGAACGAGTAAAACTATGCAGCGCTACCTTAACCGTGTCTGAATTTAATAGGCAAAATAATCTCCCTTTTATAAATCATGATTTGAATTTATATCTGCATTTTTTCAAAATACACTGAATAACAAAGAAAATGTAAACGTTAGGTATAATAAAAATACGCTAATAATATAACTTCATTTTAAATTGTGATTAATACAATATATACATATATAAACGAACTTCTTCTATACTATATTATTATGAATTTGAAGTATTATCCTAACTATCTGTGGACAAAAGTCCACGAGACTGCCATCATAAGCGACGCTTTACTATGATGGCGGTCTACGGTTCATTGTTTTGTTTTGTTTTATTTGTTGTTGTTTTTCTTTCGTGTGTTTGTTTTGGTCTCCATCCACTTTCTTGTTGTTGTTGTTGAATGATTTAACTGGAAATACCGACCCAATAGGAGAACTGCATTCAGTTTACAATAAAAGCACATGAAATACATAGCAATCGACAGGCATTTGACTTTATTTTTCTTCATCAAATGGTCTGTAAAGGTGTGGATAGCCGCTGGAACAGAAGTTTTCTATTCCTTCTCGATTGGACTAGGTGCTTTCACAGCCCTTGGAAGCTTCAACAAATTTCATTACAACTTCTATAGGTTGGTACAAAAACACTCGCTTGTAATATTCTCTTCTCGTGGCAAGAAAAGAAAAGCAGCGGGCACTAAGGCAAACTCAGAATCGCTCGATCAGCTATAAGATTTCAAGAGTTTCATTTAATTGCTAGCACCGGAACTCCATACGAAAACCATTAGTTTCGTGGAGCAGTAAGTAGACCAGCAAATGATTAATAAATAAAATATTTACTTCAACCGCATTGGATGAATCATATTCTTCATGAAATTATTGTTCTCAGGGTTTGCAGAACTTTACCGTCTGAAATTTTCAAATATTACCTTTATTTCATATATTCCACTGTTTTCGCACTAGGTATTTGAAAAAGACGGTTAAATTTTTGTTTAAATTCATGCAAGTGTAAATTCAGGTCAATTAATTGGGATAAATGATACCCCAACCTCCAAACAAAGTAGCGAAAACACGTCTTTCAACGGTTTCCGGTGCATCAGGAACAACATGCTATAAACAATCTAAGAAAATCGGACACCGGAAAAGTGGTTACTTTAAAAATGGCGTCCAAGATGGCCGCCAATGAACAGATCATCAATCACAAATTAGTCGGGTTAATATAATTATGGTTAGACCCCCGACCGTTGCGGCAAGAAAAGGATTTTCAACGGTTTCCGGTGGTGTTTGACATCAGAAACAACATAATGAACAATCTAAGAAATTAAACCCCCGGAAAGTGGTGGTTTTCAAAATGGCGTCCAAGACGGCCACCCAAGCCTCAAATAGCTGTAAATCATAATATAATCATCTTAAAGATTTAATTTTGGTGTCGATACCTAGGTTTAGGGTTCGAAGAATCCATTTATACCACTTACATTACTCATTAGGTTATACCTACCAGAAAATCGGGAGATCCAAAATGGCGTCCAAAATGGCCGACAGTCTCTCAAAATAACCGGAAGTTATTATTTACAGGAAAGCTGTAATACATGTAGCAATATTAAAAAAGTATGACCCGCCGGAACCACCGGAAACCGTTGAAAAAAACTTTTTCTTCTTTTTTACAATTTTGGGGGGCAAACCGACTAATTTGCGATCGATGATCTGTTATTTCGGATAATAATAATAATAACACTCAGTTTTTTTATATAGCGCTTATTACAATCACTAAGCGCTTCCAAACTTGGAGATTATTACCCCGGCGGCTTTAGCTGTGCTGCCATTATGGCGCTAAAAGCATTTCAAGGAATTAATTCCTGCCAGGTACTCATTTACATCACCTGGGTTGAGTGTGGACAATGTAGATCAATGCCTTGCCAAAGGACATTAGTGCCGCGGCAGGTCTCGAACAGCGGACCTTGTGCCCAGTTAGCCCGGATCATTGATTCATTCATTTTGTTAAACTTTTTCTACTGATTTCCTTTATCTTTTGTTTTGCTTAACGATATAATCTTATAGAGATAGAAAGAGACAGAGAGAGAAGAGGAAATAATGGAAAAGAACACGGATGAATGACCTTTATTATCCGCTCAAGGGAAGTAATATATACTGCAATAAGATCATAGCTGCGGGAAGAAAACATAGTGTATTTTTAATTCAGATATGGTAGACCTCCGTTCATGCATTTTGATGATTTTAATTTGTCTCGATTTTTACCCGGTATGTCTTAAAGGTATAGACCAGTTTTGGAAACGCCCCCCTCTCAAAAAGAGAAATGGAAGCTCTTATTACTTATCATCTGAAAGAATATGATTTGACTAATACATGATGATACAAATTTTGCCGGGAAACCGCCTACTAATTGATATATTTGGTAAATTATCATATCGATCCGGCCTAGATAGATATATAGATATATATCCAACATTGAACATTTGGGCATATATTTCTGTTTTTGCGAATTTAGTTTGAAGTTCTGCCATCTAGAACCTCTGAAGGCAATATTTAAACAATATTGAATGGTAATTTTGCACCCAAAATACTTGAACCGCAATTTTACCACTACCGGTCTATGTCTTTAAGAAAAATATTTTTTAAATAGAAGATTGGGTTTTCGGAAAGTTGAAAAATATTTATGAGCTTAAAATTCTTTGTATACGGTCAGTTTGAAAGAATATCATAGCGAAAGTGTCTCCTGAAAAGGATCGCTATTAAAACGTCGTCTTATATGATGAACACAAGAAAAGTACGAAAAGTGTGGACCAAACATTTATATGCAGTCCCATAACTGATTTCTGTGTGATATTTCGCAAAATGAGTCTTTTTATTAATGTTATCTGAAGCGGTTCTAGGAAAACAAAAGGGGGCCTTGGAGAAATGAAAATCAACATCCCCCTTCCCACCCCCTCCCCCCTAAAGCCTAACCCTAGATCTGCTACTGATGTTAATCATTACAAGCTTTTTATTATGTTTATTATAAACATCAATTCTCTTGTACTCCATAATCAGCCTTTCCCAGTTGCTTCTAGATTGTTTCTTTCACAATTTACATGTATGATTATTACTGATTTTTATCTTCAAGGCTATTTTTTGTATTATTGATTGTCTTTAGGGACAGCATGATCGTAGCCTCCTTAAATGTGATTACAAGTATCTACGGTGTTCTCATCGTCTCTTCATTCGTTGGCTTCGTATTGACCAGTGAGGGATTCCAAGAAAATGATGTCTTTACTGGTAAGAGTAGTGTCGTGGTAAGAGTAGTGTCAGCAGTCTGGTCAGCACCACTACCCTAATCCTTGCGCCACTATTCTTCTGGTGGGGAAGTGATGTTAAGGGCTTCATCCCTCCCATCCCTAACCTTAACCCTAACCCTATCACCACTGACCTACTGGTGGGGAGGGGGGTGAGGGCTACTCCCCTCCCACCCTCTAACCTTAACCCTAACCCTGTCACCACTGACCTACTGATGGGAAGGGGGTGAGGGATCCTCCCCTCCCACCCTCTAACTTTAACCCTAACCCTAACCCTATCACCACTAACCTACTGGTGGGGAGGGGGATGAGGGCTCCTCCCCTCCCACCCTCTAACCTTAACCCTAACCCTATCACCACTGACCTACTGGTGGGGAGGGGGTGAGGGCTCCTCCCCTCCCACCCTCTAACCTTAACCCTAACCCTATCACCACTGACCTACTGATAGGGAGGGGGATGAGGGCTCCTCCCCTCCCACCCTCTATCCTTCACCCCAACCCTAGCACCACTGACCTACTGGTGGGGAGGAGGATGAGGGCTCCTCCCCTCCCATCCTCTAACATTAACCCTAACTCCATTGACCTACTGGTGGGGAGAGGTGAGGGCTTCACCCCTCCCACCCACTAACCGTAACCCTAACCCTAACACCACTGGTCTACTGGTGGTGAGGAGGGGTGAGGGCTCCCCCCCCCCCCTCCCACCCTCTAACCCTAACCATAACCTTAGCATCACTCGCCTACTGGTGGTGAAGAGGGATGAGGGCTCCTCTTCCCACCCTCTAACCTTAAACATATACCTAACACCCCTGGCCTACTGGTGGTGAGGAGGGTGAGGGCTTCACCCCTCCAACCCTCTAACCTTAAAGATAAAGACCAGTTATATAAGTAGACTTGTGGGTGCACCATGTGAGATAGAGGGAGGATTGAGGAGTCCTGAAAAGGACTTTCGGTAATCTGTCTTGAGGGTTTCTAGTCCTGAAAAGGACATTTGGTATAGTCTTGAAAAAGACTGTTGGTTATCTTTCTTAGCATAATAGTTCTAAGGAGAACTATAGCGCTTGGAGAGGATGAGTGGCGGGAGTGGCTCTACGTTTCGAACAGGTTGACTATCCGTCGTCAGGAGTGATTATACCAACAGTCCTTTTCAGGACTACAAACCCTCAAGAAAGATTACCCGCAAGTCTACTGTACAGGCGCGTACGCAGGATTTTTTCAAGGGGGGGGGGGGGGTTTAACATTTATAAATCGGGCCGAAAATTTCGCCACGACTCAGCCAGCCGCGGGGGGGGGGGGGGTAAGAGGTCACTTTTTTTTTTTTTTTGGTATCGAAATTTGAAAATTTGACATTTTGCTCCGTTGGGGGGGGGGGGGTAAGGTCATCTTTTTGATGGGATTTTTTTTTTTTTTAATTAAAAAAATTAAAATTTAAAAAAAAAATCCAAAAGGGGGGGTTAGGGAAATTTAGGGGGGGGGAGGGTTTACACACAAAAAAAATACCAAAGGGGGGGTTTAACCCCCCAAACCCCCCCCCCCTCAATGATTATGAGGAGTAGAGGATTTTCTCTCCCCCCCCCCCACCCCCACCCCCATCCTGTCTCGTACAACGTTTGAAATAAATACGTTGTGGGCGACTGAGTACCACATTAGTCTACCAATGATACATCTTGGTGATGAGGAACATTTTCAAAATGTTTATCTCCTTCCTTTTGATAAATTATCATTTTCTATATTTATATCAGTTATTTCGTTTTCTTTTTAATTTGGATTTATATTAATACGAAATACCGTCTCTAAGATATCTTTACCCCAGTCATCGGATTCATTCACGCAAAATGTGCACTACTTATATCGAGCGTTTTATGAAACAAACCACGTGAAATTCGAATCCCTCATCGGCACCCTCGTTACAACATACGCAGTAAATCATTCATTTTCTCCCATCTGATTTTGTTTGGTTTTGTTTGATTACTTCAGGTCCTCGTCTATTTTTCGAGGTCTTTCCACGTGCGTTTGCTCTAATGCCTCTATCAAGGGTCTCGGCAATTTTCTTCTTCCTAGTGGTCCTAAAGATTGGGCTCAACTCTCAGGTAATCGGGGAAGGATCAAGGACTTGGCCAAAATGGGATGGCGGGGGTCAGAATTCTGACAAGAATTAGAGGCATCAAAATCATCAGAATATCTCTACTGCTCTTTTTTACTCGTACCCAGAGTGTCTGACAAGCAATAACAAAAGTCATCACATATTTTCTATAATGATTTGTAACACAAATTAAGTTAGAAAATCTCTGACAAGAAAAAAAAGAGGGATCTGGACCGCATTGACCCCCCTCTGGATCAGCCTTTGTAAGTTTAATGTCTATAAACGAAATGGCTATAAGAAAGACATTGTGGATCTTCATACCAAAATCCTTTAATTCCAATGTTTTTAATTCGACTGTTTTCATTTAACTTATTTGTAGCATAAGCAGGTTTCAGAATGTATTAATCTATGCCTGATATTTGTTTTAAAAAAAGACTCGATCGAGAATCTTTATCTGTAGATTGCATTTGCTTTACCTATACTTAATTTCCAAATAGTTAGACCTATATTTTATTTCCCATTCGCCCTTTTAAATATGTTTAACTTTGATAACCTTTTCAACCTCTACAACATTTCAACTGTGTAAGGTCTGTACTGGCCGAAAAGGCCAACCCTTTTTCAACTTCTTCAAACTTGTTCAACATTTTCCGACCTTCAATCTTTTCACCTTTTTCTCAACCTCTAAACCGTTTCGACCTTTTTCATCCGCTTGATTTAAGCATTGTCATTCCTTTAAACATCTTAAACTTTTCCAAAAAATTTGAGAAAAAAAAATATTCTTCGTTCTGCTCGATTCAGGTAATATTTTGATACTTTGATAGTGTCGACAAAAGACCATGTGGATGAGAAAGCATAGCTTATAATTTTCTCTCTAAACACACAACCAACAACTCCCCATTTCATGAACTAAAAAAATTATTTTTATCCTCCATTTTCGACGTTAGCTCGTCATGGTGAAGGCGTTCATCACGTCTGTCTTGGATCTTTTCCCTACCTGGCTGCGGATTGGGTATTATAAAGAGCTATTCGTGTTGGGAGTCTGCTTTGTAAACTTCCTCATTGGCCTCTGTATGGTAACTCAGGTAAGCTATCGACTCGTGTAGATATTTAGTGGTCTAATAAATAAGTTAATGGAAACATAATACTACCAATGATAAACTTAATGCTATTGGACATTTGCATATAAATATATAGGGCACATCGTGCACGGTAGGAGCTCAAGGTGCTCCAATATTACCCCGGCTTTGCGAGGCTACCGATTTCGGTGCTCACAGCATTCAAGGAACTCTTTCCTACCAGTACCCAATTAACACCTGGATGGAGAGTGGCGTATGTAGATTGATGTCTTGCAAAAGGACATTAGTTCCGTTGGAGAACTTGAACTGCATCCCTGCGATCCACAATCTGAAGACGTTTCCACTTGACCACGACAGCTCTAAACTTCTGAGGGTGGTTGATGAGGAATTCATTCATCAAATCTATCTCATAGAGGGTTGTATGATAATATCGGCCTAATAATAGATATTTTCTCTAGAGAATGGGGATTTTCATCTGTTTTGAGCAAGGTGGGCGTTAACTCGTAAACTTTAAAACGGACTAAACGTCAATCTGGCTCTGAGCAGATGTTGAATTATTATTTGTTAATACAGAGCAACTGGGAAAGGTCCTCAAAAGTTATGTCATGGATTTACCAATTTGCATTCAATTGCTGACAATTTATAACATGTATAGTTTCAAAAAGCCAGTGAGGAATATGGACTGTACCTCATTATTAAGAAGACAAAGGTAATGATATGTGGAGGAAAGAATGACCATCATATTCAAGCTGATGGAGAGGATATCGAAGTAGTCAACCCTGTCAACTTCCCGGGCTCTCTGATTGTGGATGGTGGTGGAAGCTCACCAGAAATTAGATGACGTCTCGACATGGCTACATTATCTGCCATAAGCCTTACTGACATCTGGAAAGACAGAGGGATCTCAAGGAACACCAAGATTCTTATGATGATTGCTCTGGTCTTTCCAATCGCTACATACGGGTCAGAGACGTGGGCGCTTGGAGCAGCAGATAGAAAGAAAATCAATGCTTTAGAAATGTGGTGTTGGAGGAGGATGCTGAGGATATCCTGGAAGGCTCATAAATCAAATGATTTTGTCAAGAACCAAATTGGAGCGGAAGCCACCCTATGCCAGAAGATAGATAAGAACAAGTTGCGGTATTTTGACACATTTCTAGGAGAGAAGGTGACAACCTGGAGAAGATCATTACCCAAGGTCATGTTGAGGGTCAACGGAAACGTGGTTGGCAAAAAGTTCGATGGGCTGATGGAATAAAAAGGATTACTGGCATGAACATCTGCACAGCTAATCGCTATGACCAGCATAGAATTGGTTGGAACTTCATCATAATTATGGGGTCAAAAAGGGTCAGTCATGACTCATAGGACGCCGACGACGACGAGGATTATCACTAATGATATTATCATTATTATTAGTAGTAGTAGTTGTAGTAGTAGTAGTAGTAGTAGTAGTGGCAGTAGTATTGTTATCACTATTATTATTATTATATCCCGCATACTAAGAATCTTGCAATCTGATTGGTCTAAACGAGGTCACATGATCAATGAAAGATAAGTACTATCTCCCTGCCATAGGACTTTTGTACCGTAATTTTTTGCTGCTGCCCCACTTGCCCATTGAATAAGCGTAGCAAAGTAGGTTACGCGAAATGTCAATGTCAATGTCAATGTCAATGTCAAATGAGCGCGCATCGACTGTATTACATGTATGCGTGTTGTGCTTTGTAAAATCTAGCTGAAGATAAACTGTCTGCAGAATCAGTTCTGACTTTTAAATATGTAAAATTCACTTTAAATAGACCTTATTGCCGATATGGGATATAAAGCAAATATTAACATCCTTTACTCGGGCAATGTATACAAACTATCATCGCCTCTGTGATCTCGGGGCTACCATCATCCCTCGCCTTGCGGCTCGGTATGATAGTAGCCCCGACATCACCTCGGCGATGATAGTTTGTATTATATACCTCATTTTAAGATTCTTTACTAATCCTGTCTTCTGATTGGTTGAAAATGCAGTCATGTTCTTAACCATGCCCGCTAATTGAAATTCATAGTCATTTTCCCGGCTCTACCGGTTTATATCCATTTTTCATAGCACTTTTTCCATGGCTGTAAAACGTGACGTCATTTTGCTGCGATCCCCATTTTGGTTTACGTGTTACCGTATAAGTTTCTTTTGTGCGATGACCAGTGGCGGATCCAGGGGGGGGGTTGGGGGGTTGCAACCCCCCCCCCCCCTTGGGCGGCCCAAAAAAAAAAAAAAAAAAAAAAAAGGGAAAAAAAAAGAAAAAAAGAAAGAAAAAAAGAACGCACGCTGGAGAGAAACCCTTTCAAGTGCAAATATTGTGAGAAGATATTCAACTCATCTGGTAACTTAACCAAACACATGATAACTCTGGATATAACTATGTATTAAACTGTTACTTGATTTAAAAAGACGTTATCATGCACTGCTTTTTATGGTCTCCATTGTGTTAATAGATGCCAGGAAAACATCACTTACGGGGTTCAAATAAACACCCCCCCAAAAATCGGCTCGCCGCTTCGCGGCTCGTGGACGATGCTCCGCATCGTCATTATTTTGGTCAACCCCCCCCTTAGCAAAAAGCTAGATCCGCCCCTGGATGACCGATGCGCAATACCGTTAACGGTGTTTGAGTGCAATTCGATTTTGGTCGCTGCATTCAGGCGACGAATCTACCAATCCACGCAGCGCAGACGACCGATCGCCATTTTGTGTACATCTACACCAAGTAGACTAGACGCACAGTCTGTGTAAATATGTTGCGAATTTGTGAATTTATAAAGTTACTGTTCATGTTCTACTGTTCTACTGGAGCACAGCTTGTTGGTGATATCATCCTGTACAAAAGTTACTGTTCGTGTAAACGTGTTTGGTATTCCCTGTTCTACTGGAGCACAGCTTGTTGGATTTCATACAGTGTACACAAGTTATTGTTGGTGTTAATATTCATGACTTCAAAGAGATGGAAACCTAAATGGGTGAGTCAACATTTTCCTTTTTTTCGGTATATAAAATATATATTGACTGCTTTTAATATTCGAGGCATAGTTGTTTCTATAGGGTCTCGGGAAACTCACAACCTGCTATGACCCCGCGGCGCAAGCGCCTTGGGGTCATAGCAGGTTGTGAGTTTCCCTTGACCCTATAGAAACCACTATGCCTCTCAAAGCAGTCAATATATCCTTACCATAACCCTCGTAGTCGATTAATATTTGCTTATTGTCATCATCATTATGATTATGATTGTTATATTTTTTGCTATTATTGATTACATTTTAGGGTGGTCTCTACGTCTTCACGCTCTTTAGTCACTATGGGGATAGTACCTTCCCTATCGTTTGGATATGTTTCTTCGAGAGCATCGCCATCGGATGGTTTTATGGTAAAAAATTCTCTTTAATTTGGTCAGAGTTAAGGAAACGAAACAAGCCATAGCCCAATTAAAATCAATGTAATCTATGACTTTTACTTTATCATCACCAAATTTAACCATGTTTTTTATCATATTTCTGTTCTTTGCAAACTGTGGATGAGCCTTAACTCTAGTACATGTGAGCGAAACAAATATCCATGTTAAAGGTATATATTGGACAAATAAAAACATTGAATTGTGGCTATAAACTGCCCCTGGTCCCGATTTAGTCTGGATACTTCTTCAACGAATCGTTAACATTGCTAGGGGCGCCAGCAGACCGCGGCGTTAGGCTAGAAGTTGAAAAATAATGATAAAAATAGGACCCTGGTGGTTGCATGTTTCGTTATTCATATTGTAGAAGAAAAAACAGTTAAGGACAGTCACTATCAACTGTTGAAATTGAAGAGTAAATCCTAAAGGAGAGAGGCGAAACTTTACCTGTTTGTGGTTTTAAAAAATGGAACATGTATGTCTGTTGGGTTTAATTTTACCAAACATTGGGTAAATTGTCACCAATTTTGGTACATGCGTTGAATCGTACACAAAATGTTTTCACTTTCCTTGCTTTTCCATCATAAGTAAACATTAAACCAATTTTGTTTAGGTAATGACACTTAGGGCAATAATAATATTATTAAAGTATTGAAACGAGTGTAAATTTGTTTGGAGTGTGCTACTCTATGGATTAGAGGCATGAATTATGAAACAACGGACATCAAAACGTTTTGAATGTGGCTGCGGGGGGGGGGGGGGTGCGTGATGTGGCAGAAATAGGTTTGGTCAATAGAGTTACAAAGTGAAGTCTCACGAAAGAGTGGGGGAGGAGCGAAAGATTGAAACATCATGGAAGGAGAAACTGAAGAAATGGATTAAACAGACTCTACGGCATGATACAGACTCCTGATCAAAAGATATCATTGAGGGAAGGGTGGAAGGAATAAGACCGATGGCAAGGAAAAGAATAATGATGTTGGATGGTATCAAAGCTAATGATACATGCCGAAAGATGAAGGAAATAGCGCAAGACAGACAAGGGTGGGGGTGTTTTTTTGTTTAAAACCTGCGTATAGCATAGCAATATAGAAATAAATGTTGCATGTATCTTTTCGACCATTTTTCAATTTTAATTTATGTATTTACATTTTTTGTGTGTATCTAAGGTAATGGGACGATTCTCATACAACATTGTCGAGATTCTAACATGGAGACACTTTATGGTACATCGTTATAAGCTGGTCAGTCACTGTCACAACGTATGAAAACTAGTTTTAAGTGTAACTTTTGACATCTTCAGATTATCGCAAATTATCAAAGTATTGAAAGGAATGTGTAACTTCTTAATTTTCTTCCCTCTTTTGCTTAAAGGAGTTAGAAGGTTCTCCCGAGACATTGCCGAGATGCTAAGATGGCAACAGATTGAATGGTACATAATCTGCTGGCCAGTCACTGTTCCTATTATTGCTCTGGTAAATATCTCTCCGAATATAGATGGCCCTTATTCTACTGACATTAAGGATATATTTTTCTCTGAATGTTAAGGATTCCAAGTTGCTGTACTACAATGAATATTTGAGCTTCAAATAGTATTATAAAGAGATATTGCGAGGTCAAATACTCTCTCATTAGACACATAAGCTCCAATCTAAAAGAGTCAGAAACAAAATAACGGTTTTGTTTTTTACTCTTGTGCCCCAATCCCTTTTAATTTTTAGAACGAAGAGGTTTTAGAACAAAAAGGCACTTCAAAATGAGACAACTAGTCTTTTGTTTGCTTGCTGGTCAGAATGTGCTTTTTTTTTCTTCAACATGTTCCCGCCCGTGTCCAAAGATTGCTTTTTCCGCCCCTATATTTCAATCCCACTTTTTAAATACCGATATTTACCATGAACTTGCACATCAATATTAAAGTTCACACAAAGTTTTGGGAAATTTTGAAATTGGTTGGATAGTGATTCTTTACTATTTTGAAATATTTGGATGCCCCATTGGATGTATTATAAGCACTAAAAAAGGGTAGCACCTAAAAGTAAAACGCTTCTGCTTTCGAGTAAAGTTGAATATCAACATACCGGTGCTCCCGGTAAATTTCAAATAGCTGCGACCATGAAAATCTCAAAATATACATTTTTTATTTTTAATTTCCAAACGGAAATGGCCAATCGTTCGATTTTAGTCAAGAAACATCGTTTTATGGCTCGATTAATATCTTGACCTCAAGAGGGAGGTATACAACATTATTATTTATTATTTACAATTTGATAACTTTAGACTCAATTTCAACCGCGACAACGATCACTGAATATTGTAGGATCACATATGCTTCCAATATGTTCATTTGAACCAAATTCATGACCCCATACCAAAACTTTGTATTACCTATAACAAATGAATGGTGATTAATTGATTTGAGTCTAACTAAATTGAATTCATTGATTCAGCTGTCATTGTAACAGAAATTGTTCTGTTTTAAAATCTATAATCCGATCGCAAAGACCTTCCAAAAATCATCATACGTAAAGATCCACTCTTAAAAATTGTGATATATCACTGTGATTACTATGGGAAATTACACATAAACACACAATCAACGTCGGCATGCATAGCGCAAACGCGCGAAATATAAAACAGATCGCGACTTGGTCACCAAACTTTCCCAGAGTTCATTTGAAATAGGACCCGAACGTATACTGGTATTTCTAAAATATTGGCTATTGGATAGCAAGAATTTCAATACATATCAGTACAAAGATGACAATGGTATGATATATATTCTGAGCATGATTTCTATAGGCAATACAATACTTGGACACTTGGTATTAGAACTGGCCTATACAGCTGATTTCTTGAAAGTCTTTGCGACCATTATTAATTAAAAATAATTGAGACACATGGAACAAATCAACACGATCGGTTTATCCTGGGAGGTGTTCCTGATTTGTCAAATAATCATGTAAAATACATTCTATTCTCAGCTCGTTTGGATCGGCAACATAGTGTACTGGGCCCCGCTGTCCTATTCCTCTGGCTACCCGAGCTGGGCCGACAGGCTCGGCTTTTGTATGACCCTCTCGTCGATGGTGTGGATTCCCGCAGGAGGGGTCTACTCCATCTATTACCACATGATCAAAGGTGAAGGGCCCACTATGACGGTAAGATTATGAAGAGGATTTTAGGGCTTATAATTGCTGATCCTCAAAGGGAATACGGCTTCCTTTTGAGCAACGGGTGTGCCGAGTAGCACAAAAATAATGCATCTTCTTTGTTTTTGTTGCTGTTGTTTGGTATTGTTGTGCCTACAGGGATGTAAACAGGGAGCCAAGGGGACTACCATTTTTCTCATGCCGCCTCCTAGGCGGAAATTTGTAAATAAGTGCACCCCCCCCCCCTAAAGTAAAATTCTAAATGTAGGCTAGGCCTGGACTTTTTTTATTTGTTGGAGGAAATTCACTTTGTTTTCTTTTATTGGGTGGGGGGGGGGGGGGTTATAAGTGCCAATTCCAAAGAAGCCTATAAGGCAAGTGTGTGTGAAGATTTCCGGACAATTAGCCTTATGAGCCATGTAACCTGTAAGTTGCTCGTAAAGATCATTCTCAAAAGAATAAAAATTCAAATTGACAATGAAGTAGGAAAGGAACAGTTTGGTTTCAAACCTCAAAGTGGTACTAGAGAAACCATATTCACTTCGTTTGAAGTCCACTCCATGCTGTCAGATAAATAGTGAAATTCACTCTCATAAGAATTATTAAACCATTCTTCTTTCAGTGCAATTATTTCAGTCCTCTGGGTAGAGTATTTTCGTACTTTGGTGCAGTTCTGTAAACGAGTGCATCATGCTGCATATCGTGTGAGCCTCAACAAAGGTTCTAACGGGTTAAGGAAGTAGTAAAAAGTGCTCCTTGTGCAAGTAAAAACTAGCTCCTTCTCCGACTTCTTCTGACCAGGTGTTACCCCCAACCAGCTGCCTCTGAATCTGCTCCATTTCTTTCAAGTAGATTTAAAACCAAACGAGTGATTTTTTTTTTTTTTGGGGGGGGGGTTCACTCCTCACATTACTGCGTTTCAATAATTTTTTTTGTTTTTATTATTATTTTTTATTTGAAATTTGTGCCTTTTAACATGTTTAACAATGATTCTTCATTTCGTTTTCTCCATTTCAGAGGCTGAAAAAGGTTATTCAACCCGCTATCGTTCCCTTTCGTGACGAAGTACCTGTAGAACCAGCTGGTGTGGAAATGACCTAATATCATGAGTGTCAATTAAACAAAAACTTCATGTAATAGTGGAAAAGATTGAAAAAAATAATCACTTGCAGTTTTGAAGTCGTATGCTATCTCTGAAATGATACGGAATTATATAAATACTTTAAATTGTTTAATTTTCTTCGCTTTCAATTTATATTTGATGAGAATTCCAAGTCATTGGATCGCAAACTTATAATAGGCCTATTCAATTTTACCTGATTACAAAATTGTGATTTTGAAATATATTGGGCAAAATTCGTAAAAAAAACAAAAGCGGTTCAATAATTATGCTTTTTTTTTTTCCTCCTCAAAATTATTATGGTAGCTTGGCTTACAGTAAATTTTATTCGTATTTGAAAAGATCGGCGTAGGCGTAGTTATGGGCGCAATTTGTTTTAATGAGCTAACGTTTAATGTTGTCCAAAATTAATACTTCTTTCGATTTTCTATATCTCGCGAACGAAATAGCCAAATGTAGGCCTGTAGTTTGGTTATTACCATATCATGTCGAATTTGTAGTATACCTTTTTTTACATTCTCATATACTTGAAATGCCTATATCATGAAAAACAGGAATTTAACTGAATGCCCTGAAACGCGGCTGCACGCTGCACTCTGTGCGTTGGAATTTACGTGTGTGTGTGATTGATTGATTGATTTTTATTCGACAAGCTTCCAACATACAACAATATACAATAATAACAGATCAAAAATAAGTCAGCTTGAACAGGATAACCCACGAAAGCTCGAGAGCTTATTTCCAGTGGGGTCCCTTACAGACATGTATACAATTAATAAATTAAAATAGTAATATTTACAGACAGATAAGAAAATTAAAAGAACTACTTATTAAAGATAATAATAACAACATTAAACTGATGATAGAAATGATATTAAGTACAAGAAGAAAAAGAAGAAGGAGAAGAAGAAAAAGAGGAGAAGGAAGAAGAGGAAAATAATGATGAATTTGTAGAATTTCTATAACGTACGAAAACATAAGTATATACAACATGAAAAAGTATGAACCGACAGAAGAATAACAATTTCAATCATATAACATGTCATTCACTTCTCTTCTCTGACTGTCAAGTATTAGGTATTCCTTTAATTTCCTCTTAAAATGATCATAGTTTCCTATTTCTTTTACACCATTGGGAAGGGAATTCCAATGTTTTATGGCATTGTAATAAAACGAATTTCCAATACTACCTACTCTTTCTGGTAAGTTAAAGTTGAATCGTCTATTTCTTGTATTATAATCATGTACGTCAGTAACAAGATCGAAGTTGGATCGAATATAATGATTCGCCCTAGTATGATATATTTTATGCACGTGATGCAATGCGAGTTGTTTTGATCTTTGGTCGACTTCAAGAAAACCAGCTTTAGAAAGTTCGCTATAGCCAACATGAGTTCTTGGACCAGAACAGTTGATAAATCTCACCATTTTGTTCTGTATAATCTTCAACTTCTTTTGATCTGACTTGTTTATGTTACTGTACCATGCAGGGTTAGCATAGTCAAATAAACATTGAATAAGAGCAAAACAGAGTGTACGTCTTGCTTTTAAATCCATACAACTTTGATATCTGTACAAAAATTTCAGACGAGAATTTGCTTTTTTTACAACTGATTCTACTAAACATGAAAATGAAATTGCGCTAGCCAACTCAATGCCTAAATACTTCACAGACTCTTTTCTCTTGATTGCTTGATTATTGTGTGTCACTTTGAATTCAAATGACTTTTTAGAACTACTTTTAGAACAAAATAAAATGCTTTCTGTTTTTCCCAAGTGTAAAGAAAGCTTATTATCAGTCATCCAATCGACACACGTAGACAGCTGTTCACTGAGCTTTTCCTCTATATATTTAGGATCAGGATTTGAATAGAGTAGTACGCTGTCATCTGCGTACAATAATAGTTTGAAGTCTTTTATACAAATACACATATCATTTATATAACTTGAAAATAGAATTGGGCCTAAAATACTTCCCTGAGGAACACTGCATGTTATAGGCATTAGTTTGGAACGAATATCATGAATGGCCACTACTTGGTGCCGATTAGATAAGTAGGATCTGAACCAATCTAAACTTGCCTTATCAAAACCCATTAGTTGTAACTTCTTCAATAAGACGCAATGATTAACTGTATCAAAAGCTTTTTGCAGATCAAGGAGCACCATACCAACAAAGCGTCCTTGGGAAGTTTCTCTCCTCAAATAATCAGTCAAATGAATTAGACATGTTTCAGTCGAATAATCATATCGAAAACCAGATTGAAATTCATAAATTATATCATTTTCTTTGAAGTATCTTTCAATTTGAACACAGACCGATTTTTCTAGAATCTTTGATGCTACGCTTAAAACACTAATAGGTCTATAGTTGCTAACATCAGTTTTATCTTTCTTTTTATAAAGTGGAGTCACTTTTGCTATTTTCATATCTTCTGGAAAAGTACTCGTCAAGATAGATAGGTTCATTAAGTAACTTAGAGGCTTAAATAAAACCTTCGCACCATCTTTTAGAAATTTAGCTGGAATCAAGTCTAACCCAGTACTTTTTGATACATTCAACTTACGTAACTCTTTGAAAACAAATTGTTCACTGATTGGTAATAACTCGAAGCTGTTTTCACGTACACCTTTTCTTTAGTAAAGGAACAGGAAAGGAACAGTTTGGTTTCAAACCTCAAAGTGGTACTAGAGAAACCATATTCACTTCGTTTGAAGTCCACTCCATGCTGTCAGATAAATAGTGAAATTCACTCTCATAAGAATTATTAAACCATTCTTCTTTCAGTGCAATTATTTCAGTCCTCTGGGTAGAGTATTTTCGTACTTTGGTGCAGTTCTGTAAACGAGTGCATCATGCTGCATATCGTGTGAGCCTCAACAAAGGTTCTAACGGGTTAAGGAAGTAGTAAAAAGTGCTCCTTGTGCAAGTAAAAACTAGCTCCTTCTCCGACTTCTTCTGACCAGGTGTTACCCCCAACCAGCTGCCTCTGAATCTGCTCCATTTCTTTCAAGTAGATTTAAAACCAAACGAGTGATTTTTTTTTTTGGGGGGGGGGGGGGGGTTCACTCCTCACATTACTGCGTTTCAATAATTTTTTTTGTTTTTATTATTATTTTTTATTTGAAATTTGTGCCTTTTAACATGTTTAACAATGATTCTTCATTTCGTTTTCTCCATTTCAGAGGCTGAAAAAGGTTATTCAACCCGCTATCGTTCCCTTTCGTGACGAAGTACCTGTAGAACCAGCTGGTGTGGAAATGACCTAATATCATGAGTGTCAATTAAACAAAAACTTCATGTAATAGTGGAAAAGATTGAAAAAAATAATCACTTGCAGTTTTGAAGTCGTATGCTATCTCTGAAATGATACGGAATTATATAAATACTTTAAATTGTTTAATTTTCTTCGCTTTCAATTTATATTTGATGAGAATTCCAAGTCATTGGATCGCAAACTTATAATAGGCCTATTCAATTTTACCTGATTACAAAATTGTGATTTTGAAATATATTGGGCAAAATTCGTAAAAAAACAAAAGCGGTTCAATAATTATGCTTTTTTTTTTTCCTCCTCAAAATTATTATGGTAGCTTGGCTTACAGTAAATTTTATTCGTATTTGAAAAGATCGGCGTAGGCGTAGTTATGGGCGCAATTTGTTTTAATGAGCTAACGTTTAATGTTGTCCAAAATTAATACTTCTTTCGATTTTCTATATCTCGCGAACGAAATAGCCAAATGTAGGCCTGTAGTTTGGTTATTACCATATCATGTCGAATTTGTAGTATACCTTTTTTTACATTCTCATATACTTGAAATGCCTATATCATGAAAAACAGGAATTTAACTGAATGCCCTGAAACGCGGCTGCACGCTGCACTCTGTGCGTTGGAATTTACGTGTGTGTGTGATTGATTGATTGATTTTTATTCGACAAGCTTCCAACATACAACAATATACAATAATAACAGATCAAAAATAAGTCAGCTTGAACAGGATAACCCACGAAAGCTCGAGAGCTTATTTCCAGTGGGGTCCCTTACAGACATGTATACAATTAATAAATTAAAATAGTAATATTTACAGACAGATAAGAAAATTAAAAGAACTACTTATTAAAGATAATAATAACAACATTAAACTGATGATAGAAATGATATTAAGTACAAGAAGAAAAAGAAGAAGGAGAAGAAGAAAAAGAGGAGAAGGAAGAAGAGGAAAATAATGATGAATTTGTAGAATTTCTATAACGTACGAAAACATAAGTATATACAACATGAAAAAGTATGAACCGACAGAAGAATAACAATTTCAATCATATAACATGTCATTCACTTCTCTTCTCTGACTGTCAAGTATTAGGTATTCCTTTAATTTCCTCTTAAAATGATCATAGTTTCCTATTTCTTTTACACCATTGGGAAGGGAATTCCAATGTTTTATGGCATTGTAATAAAACGAATTTCCAATACTACCTACTCTTTCTGGTAAGTTAAAGTTGAATCGTCTATTTCTTGTATTATAATCATGTACGTCAGTAACAAGATCGAAGTTGGATCGAATATAATGATTCGCCCTAGTATGATATATTTTATGCACGTGATGCAATGCGAGTTGTTTTGATCTTTGGTCGACTTCAAGAAAACCAGCTTTAGAAAGTTCGCTATAGCCAACATGAGTTCTTGGACCAGAACAGTTGATAAATCTCACCATTTTGTTCTGTATAATCTTCAACTTCTTTTGATCTGACTTGTTTATGTTACTGTACCATGCAGGGTTAGCATAGTCAAATAAACATTGAATAAGAGCAAAACAGAGTGTACGTCTTGCTTTTAAATCCATACAACTTTGATATCTGTACAAAAATTTCAGACGAGAATTTGCTTTTTTTACAACTGATTCTACTAAACATGAAAATGAAATTGCGCTAGCCAACTCAATGCCTAAATACTTCACAGACTCTTTTCTCTTGATTGCTTGATTATTGTGTGTCACTTTGAATTCAAATGACTTTTTAGAACTACTTTTAGAACAAAATAAAATGCTTTCTGTTTTTCCCAAGTGTAAAGAAAGCTTATTATCAGTCATCCAATCGACACACGTAGACAGCTGTT